TTGAGAACCAGGTGGCAGAAGCAGGCTCCTGCTCCCCAGACGGTGACGGCCACAGGGGCGCTGCTGGGCACAAACTGGGAAATAGAGGAGAAAAACCAAAGTGGGGACAAGTTCCTACTGGAGAGACCTGGGGAGGAAAGGACCTTGTACGTGGGGAGGCTGAGATCAGGACAGGAAGCCGGGTCTTACGCTTCCGTACAAGAGTTTGGGAAACAATGGGGAGGAAAACCATTAAAGGCAAGGTGTCAGGTCAGCGTGGCTCAGCCAGCGGGACTGCTCTGCAGGACACAGGGTCACCTCCCACATCGAGAGCCCGTGGACCAGCAGCCAGCAGCCCCGTCCCACCCATCCCCTCCAGCAAGCCCTCCTGCTCCTTTGGGAATGGCATCGATGGGTGTGGAAATGAAGCTCATCTCCCAGCTTTTGGCCTTTAGGGAGGTTAGGAAGGGAATCCTCCAGGCTCCATCGGAGGCGCGGAGAGATCCCAGCACCAAGAAGTGCTGCAGGACAGAGATTCATAGATAAGGCCAGAAGAGATCACCGTGATGAATGAGTCTGCCCTTTGCATAGCACAGGCCAGGGGCTTCCCTGAGTCATGTTTTGCTCCGAGTCCAAGCTGTGGTTGAACTCAAGCGTATTTTTAAAAAGAACACCTGACTTTGGTGGAAAGGTTCCCAGTGCAGTAAGGTGTTCAGGCAAAGTTCAGCCAAGATGAACCTCTCGAAACATTCACATTCAGCTGTCTCCAGAAATTACCAAACGAGGGAGGCTGCTACTTTGGAGTTTGAGATGTTCCTTTGCCAGTTTGTCCCATGGGGACACTGGGAGGGTTTTGGATGCCCACATCGGCGCGGCCGGGCTCGCAGAGACCAGCCCCTCGCGCTTTTCTCTCTCCTCACCTGCTGCTGCGCTTGGCCCTCGCTCTTGCATAGTAAGCTTCGTAAGATTTCGGTTTCAGCTCCAGTGCTTTAGTAGCAAATTCCTCCGCCATTCCAAAATCCTGCCATCACAACAGGTGTGCAGGTCAGTAATTGAACAGAGAAATAAAAATAAATACAGCTTGGGAAGAAAATAAACTTAATATGGACTTTTTTTTTTTTTTTTTTTTTAATGTAGCATGGAAAACTTGATGGTACCGGAACATTTCATATGGATTTAACATCAGTTACAGCCAGAGAGCTATGATGGCATGTCCAAACGCTCCAAGCCCTCTCCTAACGCCGGATCCTGCCAGCACCCACTGAGGCCAGCGTGCCGCTGGCTCCATTCTCGCTGACTGCGGCCCCAACAAGTGCACGCAATCCCTTCTCCAACAACCTGCAGTCTTGAGGAAACATCTGGTCTTGCAGCGGCTGGAATGTAATCTCATGAAGGGTTTTATTCCAGAGCTGAAAGCGATAGGAAACCTTTCCCACGCCCTCTGCTTCCCGCTCTGCCGTGCACTGACATACTTCGGAGAGGCCGAATGAAAGTGCACACGAAGGGACAAGGACATCTCTCTGGAGCAACCTGGGCTAGTGGGAGGTGTCCCTGCCCATGGCAGGGGGTGGCACTGGGTGGGCTTTAAGGTCCCTTCCCACCCAAACCCTTCTGGCACTCTGTGATGATCTCAGTAGGTACAAGCAGGACTTGCCTGGCAGAGGTCTCCTGCCAGTGCCACCCGTTCCACTGTCCTCTCCTCGACACCACACTTGGGAGACTGGTTGGGAATGGGGAGGGAGGAGGTGACAGCAGGGGATGGAGACGGCTCTGGGTGTTTTCAAGCAGCAGTGCCACGAGATCAGACCACCAGCCGTGGTTCAAACCCCACTGGCCACCCTCCCTCCCCTTGTCCTGAAGGCTTCAGGTACCACTAAGCTCAGTGAAGCTCAGCACATGCGATGGGGACCTCTGCCCAGCTGAGTGGACCTCTGCCCAGTCGAGGGGACCTCTGCCCAGCCCAGGGGACCTCTGCCCAGCCAAGGGGACCTCTGCCCAGCCCAGGGACTTTCATTTCACAGCCAGACACAGCTTTGGATTGTTGCCTCGGGTTGTACCCTGGGCGGTTCAGGGAGGATGGACTGAGGAGTGCTCCTGATGTGCTCACTCAGCAACCAAATGTTACAGGGACGCCCTGCCAGGGGAAGCTCGTACTTTGTACCTTCAGCAGCAGCTACTGAAGAGATGTTGCCTAAGAAACTAAACTGGGAATGTCGTCTAGGGGTAGGTACCTTCATGGTCTCATCTACAGCTGCAAAAACTGCAGGAGCAACTACAACTCTCTGAAATGTCCTATCACAAAACCTGGGATTCCCCAGTTAACAATAAACCAAAAATTTTGTCCTTAAAGCCCAGGCTTAGCTGCCAGCTGGCTTGTTTAAAGAGCAGGCTCACACTTTTTCTACCAACTGTGTAGTTTGTTCACCAGCATCAAGATCTTACTTCCACGGCTTTTCATCTTTCTCCCTTGCAGCTTAAAGGAAGGAAGGTGTCCCCTCCAGCGTCATCGTCGCCGGCTCGTGGCCCCGGCAGAGATTTGACTTTTTGAGCCTATGGAAACTTCAAGCTGTGGAGGTGAAAGCCCTGCACGTGGGGCAAGGGTCTGCTGGGAGAACAGACCTGCTGCAGGAGCTGGAGTGGGGAGAGCGAGGGTGACGTGGCAGTTCTGGGAGGAGGGGGAGGATGTGGGGGTGTTTGGGGATGAGTCACTGCCCTGGGGAAGTGCTAGCCCCCTAAGCATCTGCTCCTTCATTTTCTATTAATTAGTATTCCAAGGAGCACATCTCCTGGCTCCTCCCTCGCCGCTGCCCTAGAAATGTGGCAAATGCCTCCACCCCCAATTCACATCGCCATCAAAAGGGAGCAATAAAAAATTCAAAAAGCTATAAACATAGCCATGAATTCTTAATCATCAGAAACGCATATTAAATCATTACTTCTTTGGAATTAGAAAATGTCAGCGCTCTGTGAAGGGCAACCAGGTTACCCAGAGGAGAGATCTCAGAGGCCACAGCACGATTATGGGATGGATGCGTCTCTGAGCACAGCCAGAAAGCCGGCAGCTTGGGCTTAAGGCCATGAAGTGTGGGGAGACTTACGTTCATTTTCCTTCGACATCGGGAGAGGTTGAGGAGGAGGGACACCTTCAGCTCGCGGAAGGTTTTCAGGTCTTCTCCAAACCCTTCCCTGGGGAACTTTTTCAGAGCGTACTGGTAGCGCTGGGCAGCCTCCTTCACTTTACCTTTCTGATAGAAGGAGGACAAGTCAAAACACATCCTTGGTTGGGTTTCCCTCACTGCAGAGAACTCACCCACCAGCCCCAGGAACGTTTTGGGTGGTGAAGGCAACATGACCTCACCAGCTCTCCTTTCTAGAAAGGAAAGTCAGAACATTTGATCGAGGGAACATCTGATCTGGAAATGCAGATGCCTTGTGCAAGTTGAGTTACGTTAACTGGAGAGACCTCCATCTGCTTTCTGGATGGACGGTCTTTTGAGCTGGGGGATCAAGGAACGCACTTCTGGAGAACACCCTACACCCAAAGCTTCGTAAGCACCAGGGAGGGTAAAGAACACAAAGTGTGGGACCTCAGGTGGAGTTCCCAGGGCTCAGAGAAGCCTCTGCAATAGCAAAGATAAATGCTGTGGCACCGCTGTGGCTCTGAATTTGGGCAAATGGTCTGAGATTCACCTCCCTGGACCTTAAAAGTCTAAAAATTAGGTGTCTACACCTAAGTCTGTCAACTGGGTTCCTTTTATAGTTATTGGGACGCAACAGTCACCTTCAAAAGGTGACTCATCTTTGCTATTTTGGGCACCTATTTTTGGGATGGGATGATGTGCTCCCAGGAGGGGGCCAGCCACAACAGCCAGGGTGAAAGAGAGCCAGCGAAATGGGATCTAGGACGCGTGCGATTCATGGTGACCCAGACATAAATTTTACAGCTAGGAGAAGTACGCTTTCCAACCTTTTAGGCTCAGGTTTCTCAGCTGTATCACGTATCTCTGGCAGATAGCTCCAGTTACAATGCCAGCTTTGCGTATTTTCTGCTTTCACCCTTAGAGCCCAACAGTGAATCATTGTTGTACTTGCACATTTTGTGCGTGTGTGCAAATCTCCAGGTTTTAAAGATCAGCTTAAAATAAACACAAGAGCACAAAAAAGACTCTCTAAGCGTAACGGTGGAATGTCTCCCATGGGCTAAAGGACACGACAGAGCCATCTGCATCCTGACAATCTGTTTTCATTGCAAAAAGTTTCTTCCACAAGTTTTTCTGGGAAATACTATCTCGCCTTGTTTCACAGGAATGAGCCTGCTAGGTAATGCCAGCGTTGCCAGACCTGATGCAATGACATCAGCACTCCAAATCTCTGTAAAACACTTGGGTTCTGGTGTTTTCAAAGAGGAAATGAAGTGCTGGCTCGCATCCAGAATGCGGAGAGACTTGGCTTGGCTTCAGCTTCGTTACAGATTTGGGCAATAAATCCCCCCCTCCCCCACTCCACTAAGCAAAACCAACCAGTTTCCAACACAAGGAACTTGCCGCGGGTTAAGGCAGCAGCATTGCTCGGTCAAAACCTTGTACAAAGTTCTGTTTGCATCTGTTTCATTTTTCCAAACGCGTTCTTCTCACCTTATAAAACATGTCTCCCTCCTCCATCAGCTTGCTCAACAGGATGATCATGATGTCTGGTTTGGAGGTTGCCATCGCCCACGTTGCTGGACCTGTAGTGTACAGGATGCATGATGGGTAAAAAACTCATACAATGCAAGGGGTGGTAGGAAGCTGGGTGGAAAAAATATCCTGGGGTGGGAATTTCTGCTGGAGAGAACAACTTGGTATGGTCAAAGGGGCAGAGCGCTCCAAATGATGGAGCTGACAATTCCGCTCGCGCTTAAATTAACGTCATCCGCATTGCAACGGTCTTTTGCGGTCGTTAAGGCTAATGTTAATCACCACCACCGCGCCGGGCTGGGAAATGACGGGAGCCATTTCCACGAGAGGGCAGTGCTGGCTGTGGAACCAGCCAGGGTTGGGGGGAAAAAACATTGAAAAGGAAAAAAAATCAGAGTGGTTACATAAAAACACTTTAAAATGAAAATCCCTGGAAGTGGACTAAGAAATCTGCAGTTCTAGTCGTTTGGTGTTTAAGTGGATTGTGATTTCCAGCTTCACAAGAAATATCAGACTAGAAAATCCATCAAGGTGGAAAATCTGACAAAGGCAAGGTCGTGGGTGAATGCTGCTGGTGCCGAAGGCGTCCGTGGGGCTGGGGACACGCCGGCTCTGCGCAGGGGTGCGCCCGTGCAGAGCCAGCCGTTAGCTCAAGGTCTTAATACTGGGAGGGAAGGGGTGGCAAAAATCTGGGGACGACTCATTAGTGTGGGTGAAGACTAAGTCAACGATATTCTATAAGTAGATTCAGTACGTTTTGGGGGAAGGAGGTTAGTTTTTGAGTTCAAGTTATTCTCTGCAACAGTCATTAAAAAATTATTTGAAGGTGAGGTAAATTAAAAAGATTAGAGGTGTTGGGGGACGCATGCAGGCTAAATCAAACAGGAGAAAGCAAGGCTGACAAAGCTATCAGATCGAAGCTGATGCTGACAGCAATGAGATATACCTCGTGGGCGACTCGGTAACGTCTGACAACCTTCAAAGAAAGGAGAAAACAAAAAGTTGTAGGAGAGAGGGGAAAAAAAAAATGGATGAAGGTGAAAAAAAAAAAAAAGAAAGAAAGGAAAAAAAAAAAAAGCAGCTGTCAGAGACAGGCAGCAAAGAAGCCAATGCACCAGCAAAATCCCCTTTGACAGGAAAACGTAACGTGAGCGGCTGTGCGGCGCAGCGCGGGTAACACTGAGGTCTGGAAGCGTACAGAGAGCGAGCGAACGCAGCAGCTCACAGCAAGGCACGGACATAGTACATTTGTCGACTCAAGACTAGTAAAGATAGAAAAAGCATTACCAGAGGAAAGACCTTGCCAAAGAAACAGTTGTTTATTGATTAACTTTGCTAAGTAATACGACAGGAAAAAAAAAAATAATCCCCATTTTAATAAAGAGAACAAGGCAGTCGTGACTCGCCGGCTGCTTTCGGAGTACGAAGCAGCAGCTGGGGCTGAGGCTGCCGCTGGGTTACGCTGGGATGTTTTAGGGAGCCAGCCCCATTGCTCCGAGTCCTGCCTGAGCGCAGAGCCGATGGCGGGTTGTCCCCTCGTCCCTACCTATCTTTGCTCCTTTCTTCAGGAGAGTGACGACCACCGAGGTGTTGCGGCAGCCCACCGCCCTGTCGAGGGGCCGCATCCCGCTGTAGTCAACGTGCTCGATCATGGCCCCGTGGTCCACCAGGAACTGCACCTGCAACGAGAAGACCAACGGTCACTTCTGCTCCGGGGTGAGACCTTCGTGTGCTGCTGGTGATGTACAACCACCAGAAGTTCTGCTTGGCTGCTGGGGCTACAGCCAGCTCTACACGGTCTGAGCATCCGTCAGCCTCATGCGTTGTCCTCTGCAGAAACGCTTGAACACACGGAGGGCCAGGACCCCAGATGGTTATTGCTACGTCAAGCTCAGCCATGAGGGGTGAGAGGCAGTGGCCCAGGGTGCCCAGAGAAGCTGTGGATGCCCCATCCCTGGAGGGGTTCAAGGCCAGGCTGGATGAGGCTTTGGGCAACCTGGGCTGGTGGGAGGTGTCCCTGCCCATGGCAGGGGGTGGCACTGGGTGGGCTTTAAGGTCCTTTCCCACCCAAACCCTTCTGGGATTCAGTGATTTTAAGGCTTTTATACCAACCGCTCGTTTTCTTCTGCATGTGTCACAGGCCACTCACCACTTCTGCGTCGCCATAAAAAGCCGCCAGGTCCAGCGGAGTGCGTCCGTTTTTATCCGCGTGGTCGGTGGCAGCGCCGTTCTCCACCAGGGACCGCACCACGGAGAGGTGGCCCTTCAGACACGCCCAGCTGAGGGCTGTCAAGCCCTCCTTGTCCATCAGGGAGATGGAGGCACCTGGAAGAACACACATCAGGTCACCGCAGAGCTCTGCTGTTGGGCACCATCATAGCAAACCATTCGCTTAAGCAATGACAGCTGATTTTCCGAGAGCTATGTACAGAATTATTAATTACTTTATTACCCATTGCGGATCCCACCCTCCATGGCAACTTCAAATGCACCGATAGGAACCACGGCAAAGGAGCTGATTCACACCAAGCTGCAAACTTTTTCACACCTAGCTCTGGAGGCTTTGCTGGCAAACGTCTTCTGAGCAGCAGGGTGGATTTGACATCCGTCATCTGAGACATCAATCTTTCTTTTTAACTGTTTTTTTTTTTTTTTTTTTTTTTTTTAAGTCAAAACCCATTCCAGCCAGTGTGAGTCAGACATGAAGACCATTGTGCTGTTTCAGCAGGTCATGGTGTACCAAGGGGAGCTAAGTCAATTGAGCTCAGTTCTTCTAAAAAAGCACATATTTCCCCCCTTCATCCCCTCCCTTTTACTCAAATCCACACAATTTCCAGCAGTATTTCTCCCTGAACTTCACCCAATATAAATACAACGTTGTGGGATAAACTCCTGCCAACCACAAGCCAAGGAGAGAGGGACTTGACATTTTCTTGGATGGAGAAACTGTGCTGCCATACCAACGGGTCAGCATCGCTTCGTGCGGCATATGGATACGCGTACAAGATCCGAAATGCAGCATCAAGTGAACACTCCTCTGCGTGGCACGGAGACAACTCCTGTTGCCATGGCACAGGCAGGGCTGCAGCTCCCCAGCGTGCAGAAGAGATTCCTATCAGCTCCGCTCCTCCGAGGAACCGCGGCTACCTGCGGGATGCTGGGATGGATCCCTGCTGCGGTATTTTTCTCTTGGAGGTAAACTCTAAACCGCCCAGCAGGAGATCTTCGCTGGCTCCAGAAAAGCTCAGCAAGAGGAGGAGAAATGTGAATGTCCTGAACCTTCCCGTCCCTCCCAGCTGACACATCCCCGGTCAGCGCACATCGACAGCAAACCCACGGGTTTTCCAGCTCGCGCAGCTCTGCTTGCGGAGGAGCACTACACAGGAACGTTTCCTTGAGATGTGTTCAGAAACCTCCGCCCAGAGCTCCTGGCACAGATCCCTGCTCACTGCCTCTGAACCGTGGCAGGGGGGAC